TATCTAATTATGTTTTATATTTATTTTAAAATTAATTATGTATTACCCTTTTGAGAAGGGCATTTATTTGAGTCAGTGGATCAAAGAAAGAAACAAAGAAGGAAGAAAGCTCCATTTATTTGAGTTGAGAGCTGATGCTACACACATCTTGTTGCCCACAACCTTTGTTCACTTCAAACTAGTCATGCTCCAAGGTTTCTATCCATGAAACCCGAGCCTTATTCGCCTCGAGCCACACTCTCCATTACATTACGCCGAAGTTCTGATCGCTTCCCTCTCGATCTTAGAAGTGAAGAGGGCCAATTCATTTCCACGGTTAAACTTCAGCTGCATGGCCTCCTCTCTAGAGATGCAATACGAGTTCATCAGCACCTCCACCGGCATGCCACGGAGAGCCGACGTCTTCCCCACGAAATGGTTGACCATGGCATTGTCGTTGGTCTTGATGGAGACCCATTCGAAGCTCTCGCGTTGCGCTTGGAACATCATAGCAAAGTACTGTGGAACGACAAGTAGTTGACCCTGACGGAACTCTCCAACGAATACGGTCTGACCTCGATGTCCCACCACCTGCACCCGACTGTATCCCCTCAAGGCGTACACGATGCTATGAGCGTTGACATTCCAGTGCGGTGATCTGATGGCATTCTGCACGGAGACATCATCGCCATATTCAATTAAAATTTTCGAGATCATAAATGGAAGGTAGATCAGAGATAATGTTGTTGTCGTACCGGGCGGAGGAGTCCCCTTACAGCACTCATTTGGACGAATCTTAGAATGGGGAGCTTCTGGCTGTTGAGGGTGGTGATCCTTCCAGCGCGCGGATTGAAGTAGTCAGCACGCAAGGGGTCTCCAATGTTCTGCCTTATCTTCATGGTGCAGAAAGCCTCTAATACATTAGATTGACATCCCCTTCCCTCTTGGCATTCTTGTCTCACCTCTCTTTCTCGTACCAGTTCCTCACTCTGCCGTGATGCTCGTAGCACCTGAAGCCCACTCGTGACAAGGACTATCTCGCCCCTCCTGTCGTCGGGATTCTGGATTTTTCTCACCAATTCCCTATCGACACCGAGTGCCTCTGCCAGTGGATCGAGCTCAAAACCGCTGAGCAGGTTGTTCCCCTTTATCTGCTGTAATCTCACTTCTATTTGGGAACCTTGCTCGACTAGTCTCTCCCTCCCAGCAAGTAGAAATTCCTAGCATCATATATTTCTCAATTAAATTACCTTGAAAACTGTGTTGCGTCAGAAAATTAGATGGATGGATTCATTAAGGCTCACCCTATGCTGGCGATCCAATTGATTGGCGCTGCTGCTTGTGTCGAAGGTGGTAATCGCGACGACAGCTACTTCGCCATTGTTGTAGCCCCAATAAGAAACTCCAGCGGGCAACGCGATGATGTCTCCCTCACGGACGTAGTGGATCCTCTGGTGCTCGTCTCGGAACCTCTGACATCCTCCTGCCGTCTGCTCCCATTGTTGTTCGGTTTGCTGGAAGGATTGGAACGTCTCTGGGCAACCGGGGAACACTGTTCCAATGATTCCCCTTCCTGCATCCACCATGGACCATCGTCGAGCTTTAATACAATATATATGACATGGAATTAAGTCACCATATTCAAAGAGCACGGTGTATATGCATGAACGAGCCTTGCACAATATAGACGAGGCGTGGTGCACTGGAAAAGGATGGCAGGAGAAGGCCTCTCGGTTGGATGGTATGACGACATGCAGCCACGCCCACGCACTGCAGCTGCTCATTGTACTGGTCAAAATACTCTGTGTAGCCAGCTTCCGAGGGCACACGTCGGGTGAGCTCAAGGGTGCTTAGCTTCTCGATTCTGCATTGGCTCACGCGGCTGTAGCGACGCGCACTCACCCATGGTTCACCTGCTCCCTGCTGGCCGAGTCCAAACTGGGCTCGAGAGATGTGGCAGAAGAGGAGCAAGCAAAGAGAGAAAGAGAGGAGAATGGAGGTGGAGGCGGCCATGGCTTAGTGTTCTGCAGAAGGAACGGTGAGAGAGTGGTGAAGTGGAGTGCAGAGGTGGGAGGGCATTTATAATGGGTTCATATAGAGGGTTATGTGGAGTTTGGTTGGGAGGTCACGAGGCTTCGCATGGGTTCTCGTGTCGCCGCATGCAGACGACTGGTTTGAAAGGGAAGCACAGATGCTTGGGTTTGGTAGGAAGGAGACGATTTCGGTTGAGAGGCCAACTGCATGCTGCGAAGAAAATGTGCAGCAGAGATATCTTACTTGGTTTCTATGCTGAAATGTGTTGTTGATGACGCTACGCCCTCTGTAAGCTACCAAAATGTGGAAATGATTAGTGGAACCTTTCATTTAATCTATTTCTCATTAGTTTATCGCTTAGCTATTCAATATTAATGTTTGATCTGAGATCAGAAATGCTGTCATTAAAGCCATACATAAGCTGGTCCTCCTTCAACAATCCATTCGTTTACAGTTAAACCATCTACTACAAGCTCAGATGTAGGTTGATATGTCGAACAGGTGACACCCACATCACTGAGATCACTCAAAGCAGCTGAAGGCCAACTTATAAGCTGTGGACTCCTTCTGCAGGCAATGAAAAGTACCACAACGAACATCTAAATCTCTTCCAGAAGATTGACCATGAAATAGTTTATAGCAGAAGATACCAATCATTGAAGGAAATTCCACAGCTTTCCCATGAATCAAAATGATGATAAGGTTGCTTCTCTTATGTGAGACAGGCCACCACACCTACTAACATACTGTGTGTGTATGA